CGAAGGACAGACTTCTTGAAAACATATAGCAGAAAAAAACATGCTGAGGCAGTTGGTGTTTCCTAAAATTCTCTTTTTCTAACAGTAGATGGTTTTTATTTTAGTGTTGTTCATAAATAATCACTTAACCTTTAACTGGCAGTAAGAATTTTGACTGAATAATACTATCATTTAAACAGTTCAAATATCCTGGGACATCAGCGCTATATGAGCGGGTATTCTCCACCAGACTCATAGTTAACAAACTGCCCACCACACTAACCCCACAGTATGTTCACATGTTGCTGTTTCGGAATAAAAACCAGTACCTCTCCACTATGCCAGTAAGCCTGGCCTGTTTTCATGTTGTTAACCTGCTTCTGTTTCTGATCATTAATCAGCTGAGAGCAGAGGAGGAGGGTTTCATTAGAGTGCTCTCTGAATCTGGAGGATTCAGTGTGTGTTTTTGCTTTGTTAATCTGTTTATACATTAGAAAGTCTGCCTATTGGCTATTTATTTTAATAGGTTATTTAATATCTTCCTACATATAAGGCTATATATATATATATATATATACACTGGGCGCCGCAGGATTTAATATGTGTTTTGTTTACAGAACTCGTCTATTCTAAATAGTACATTTTAATCTCGTCGTTGAACGGTTAAAGGTTCGGCTATTGGTCAGTCATAAAAATTCAAAATGAGCATCCCTTATTTATTTGAAATCACAATGATCCACAAAGTAGTCAACTACCGTGCATCTCAGGGATATCTCCATCTGCAACACAAGCTGCATTGTAAAACCTGAAAAACATAAGCTGCCGGCACAAGATTTGATCAAGGCAAGGTAGTAGGACTGGCATGTATAATCTCATTTTGAAAATGTAGCTCTCACATTTGTTTGTCACATCTGTTCAGTTGGTTTAAGGGAGTCAATCTGCTGAAGGCTGTTAAAAGCCTATGAGCTGTAGCAGACAGCCAGTAAGAATTACAAAAACAACTCTACAGTGAAATTTGACTTCTATCGTCTATCTATATATGTCCACTAGTAGAATAATGCATAATCAGAGTGAATCAGGCAGATGATGTGTGATTCTTTTTAAAGAACTAAAGAACTAGAATTGCCAGCTCCAACAACTGGATTTAACTATCCGTTTAGTTACATGCAGGTACAGACTGTACATGTGTGTTGGCTGGCCGTAGGCTGCTTTGTGGTGTGTTCAAGCACAACTTTTTTTAGTGGGCCCTTGTTTGTGCTAGTTATTTAGGGTCACCCTGGTGTGTCATGGCCTTAAGAAAGTACATTTGTCAGTGTTACAGCATATCCACTGGCAACAGCCCTAAATTTCACAGAACATTTCCAGTGACAGATTTATTAAGTGGTGCGCGCAATTTGACATGTTATAGATTTAAAAAGTGAACGTTATCACAAATGCCTGCCTGTTAGTCCCAAAGCTCCCAAATCTAGGCTGCAAAAGGGAACATGGGTAAAGTGGCAGAGTGCACTGGTTCTGAGCACTAAGAAAAGCCTGAACTGTGTTTGGGTCCCAGAGTGGATTAGCGAGTTTATCAGCACCAGCACACTGTGGCACTCATTGCTTGCACTCTGCTGTGGATAAGTGGCTACAGAGAGCACTGAGTCCTTGGCCTGGGTCAATAGCAGCCCTCGGGGTACACGAGGTGCTGGTCAATTAGAAAATGTTGAAACTGTTCCTTGGTCATTAGATTCATGGTCACAGTCTAGTCTACTATATATTCTGTAAACACTCTAGTGCATTATTATGTGAATTCATATTTTGTTTTCGTTTTAAATTGAATACTTCTAATAAGAAAAACTGGGGGAGGAAGGGGACTAGGTGAATTGAAGGTATGAGCAAAGAAACAAAGGGTTGTCACGAACATGACTTAATTCAGTAGCAGATACCTTGTGAAATTTGGACATTTTGTTAACATAAAGGATATAGTATTATCATGTCTTCCATACTTTTCTTTTTAAAATCTACTACCTCTGTGTCTCCATAAAGCAAACTATCACTGTGAGATTTTAAAAGACATTTAGTTCAAAAAATCCTTTGTCAGTTTTGGGTGAGTGAATTTGCCACATGCCATACAATTCAAACAGCCATCTCTTAAACTTTTTTCCTGTCCCTGTAATGGAAGCGGCTGCATTTCATCGCCCTCATCATGTAACATTCATCGCGGATGTCAAGGATTTTGCCGTCAGTTATGTGACACGGTTTTATGCTGAGAATTAAAAACAGCTGCCATATGGTGCCTTCCTGTCCTTTCGGGCAAAATGGAGCATCTTGGACATGCTACATGCATGTCCAAACATGGCTGACAGCTTTTAACACTGTGGTGTTTGACAAAGACCATCTGGCCCACAGCAATATGAGGATAACATGTGTGGCTCAAAGTGATGTTGTTTTTGAGGCTCTGAAATGTTAGAGTAAGAAATATGCAAAAAAAAAAGGCTATAGATTAATGATTTTTAATGAAATGGCTTATCCTGTTTATGTTAACACGTATGCATGTCATGATTGACAGGACATGATTGTGGGGCTTTTCCCTGATCAATTCAAATCTTCAACCCTTATTCAAGAGGTTTTTAAGATACCAGCGACCATAAATATGGTTCAGTGCAGTTAAGCGATGCATAACCTGCTGTTAGACATCTGACTTTGATTTTACCATGAAGGTCCATGCAGTGCTGATGATGTAGGATGACAATGTCCAAAACTGGCCAATGAATGAGTAACCTGTCAGTCTGTATAATGTCATGTTTTGGTTCTTGGTTTGTTTGCAAAAGTCAGTGTGGACACAAACCGAACCAGATCTATAGGTGATTTGTGTGGTTATTAAAGTGCTCTATAAGGGAAAAAGCAACCCGAAAAGTAAATACTGTAAGTTATTTCAACAAAAAAGCACTGAAATGGTATTGACACAACATGTCTGCATCAGATATCTGCTCTGATCCATGGCTTAAAATGTGTATAATCCTCTTCTTAGATACGATAAACTGTGCAAAAGACCTGTCGGTGTTGTTATGTTTTGGTTGCCGATTAGAAAAATCATAGATCTCTTCCATGCCCTTTTAAAATTCAGCCTCCGGTGAAACATTGTTCTGCAGTAGGTATCATGAATCATTAAAACCATAGGTGATCTGGATTACTGGCTGCCACCAGCCATCATGGATTCGTACCTCCAAGATTAAGAGTTCAAATTCTTTTTTCCTTTTTTTCTGTCAGTGAACCAACTTGCCCGAGGCGTTATTCCAGAAACTAATTCATTCTCTTTTTTAGCATGTTTTGCTGTCTATTAGCCTGCATTGAAGGTACATGAGCATCTGTAAGTTTTACTTTAAAGGGTCGTCTTTTATGACTGTTTTGCACAAACCAACTCTAATCATGGTGATTCGTCCAACATTTCTTGGCCTAAAGTCCATCCAGGAAGATAAGTGAAGTCATACTCCAGTTTCTTTACAAAAACAGTATCGTCCACATTTTTTCAAAAATAGTTTTTATAAAAAAAAATTTCATTCCTTTTATTTTTATCTGATCCTTGCTTTCCTAATTTTTGTCATGATGCAGATTGGTTCTGATTCAAATTTGATCAAGTGTAGTATCGCCTCTGTGGAGATGCACATAAACATCTTTGTGACCTTACACAAAGAAGGGTATTATGTGTAAACAGTAGGTTGCAGAGAGTCACAGAAGAGCCGACATGCACACCTCCCACATCTCAACAATGTGCCTTGTGGACCTGCGCATCAAGCCAGCTGATTGGTTGATCCAACATCCTGCAGGGGTTTTCCCTGCAGGAAAACTTTCTTTCAGAGTTTGGGTGTACATTTCAGCACAGTGCTGCCAAAAGTGATTTTCTAGCAGAGAAAAATACATTTCTCTTCTAGGCACTAACTCAATCCCTATTATTGTCCTGTCGATTTACATTGAAAAATTCATTTGTTCGCTTGTTTCACTGATGTAGAGATACGTTTCCATTGTTGCCGGTTTCAATGTAAAAATCATACCCCCAATCTAATGGCACTATTGGAACAGCTATCATGAATACAGACATATGACTAATTAAAGGAAAAACCTGAATAAATGAGTGAAGAATATAATGAATGCAGATGCTTTCACACAGGTACACTGCATGTTAGAGTTAAGCAATTAACATGCAGTCATGCTCTGCGGCGGGTACAAAAATGCTGAGCACGTCTAGTTGATTCTGACTTTATATCCAGATGGGAAGAGGGAAAGAGCCACGCAACTTTGAAAGAGGGTTCATTGTTGGGGCACGGGGGGCAGGCGCTTGAGTCGCAAAGGCTGCTCAGCTGGCTCGTGTTTCAATAGGAACAGTGACTAGAGTAACATCTGCTTTTGAATGAGTAAATAGGTTCAGAAATTGTGGCAGAAATTTAGAACATTTAGTTTAAATAGCAGCAGTTAGATAAAGAGAAAGGGAAGAACTACACACCAGTATTATCATGTACTCTGTGTTTTTAAGAACACATAGTACACATAGTAAACTATATTACTGGAGCAAACCATCCAATAACCTCAAACTTCACAGTGCGTTATTGATCCTTCACTACTGTACACTGTCTTAGTTTGGAAGCCATAAGAACAGCTGGGAAAAAGTCCTGGCTGTTGTTTTTTTCTCATTTTAAATAACCTAAGTTTCCTAAGATAGACAAACTTTAAGGGGACCTTTCCTAAAGTAAATAGGAAATGTGTATTCAGCACGGTCATAAAAAGACATTTCCCACCCCATACTAAGGAACCCTCTTGCTTCCTCTGTCCCCCACCCGAGCCCACAGATGTGAAGCAGATTACACTCGTGCTTTACCCCTCCTTCTGCCAGCCCCTCTTTCCACTGCAAAGAAAGAAATCATTCAGTTTCAGCCTTTTTCTACAAACATCCCCCTCCCCTGCTATCCCCTCCCAGCAGCAGACAGGGGCACACAGACGACCACACTCTCCAGCCAAACCCTAATTGTGTGTGCGTGTGTCTGCATTTTTTTTTTCCCCTGACATGAAGAAGGAAACCGAGTGAGTATTTGCTCTCTGTGCTTGTGAATAGTGGTCCCGAAAACCTTTTGAGTCGTTTCGCTTGACTGAGAAAGTGGAAGTGGCAGAATTTAGCTGTGAAAAATTACTGGAGTTAGGTAAGTTTGGTTTTTGGATTTATGAAACTTTTAGGTAGGGTACAGTATGATGGGAAGCTGAGGCTTACTCATCCTGTATGCCACTAGTAAAAGTAGAAAAATCGAATTTGAAGTGCACATTTGTGGAATTTATACTTATTTTATACAGTTATTTAAATTATTGTATGGCTCTAAAATACTGCTGTTGCCATGAATGGTTGTTTCAGAGTTGAAGAGACATTTTTCTGACAGTTTTATAATACAGTGTCTGTGTATAGGTGTGTATGTGCAAACATGTCTCCACTGTCTTTATCTTTCTTATTATCATTCTGTCAAGTATGTTTTCAACCTGTGAGGCCTCTCTATGCTATACATGGCTTATTGCCAAAGAACCTTGTTGTCATATGGACATTGAAGGAGTTGAGTGTTGTGACGCCTGTGAAACACACCTGTTCAAGCTTTGACAAGAGGGGCCACGAGGTTGAGCTGCAGACACACTACAAACACCAAGATTAGCTCTGACCCACAGCTAAGGAGGAGTACAGCACACATGAATATCAATTTCAAAAAGGTCTACATTTCATTTGAAGGGATTTACAAGTTACATAATTCATAAATCCATCCTTATTCATTTTGGAGCTGAAACAATTCACTGACTGCTAATTATTTGGCAACTATTTTGATAACTTATAAATCGTATAAGTCATTTCTCAAACAAAACTGCCAAACATCCCTGTACTCCACCTTAGGAATTTTTTAATTTGCTGCTTTCTCTGTCCTTTGTGACTGTAAATATTCTTTAGTTTTGGACCATTTGTTGTACAAATCTGGTACTTCAAAGATGTCACATTGGACTTTAGGAAACCGAACAAATGATGAACTAATCAAGATGGTAATTGGAAGATTCAGTCAATGTGGAAAAATTACAGATTCTTTAAACCAATTGCATATTTTAATGCACAACCTATACTACACTACACAGGTCTCAGCAAATATTCTAATTCATTTCCTGAAGTTGTTCAGGGCATCTGTGGAAGAATTAATTTGAGTTCAATCAATCACTTAAAAAAAAAAAAAAAAAATCCATCAATCATCATTGGACTCCTCTTAGAACAAACCACTAAACAAGGATTTAATCTGGCTTTTTCTAAGCAACACAAACAAGAAGTAAAGTCTCCTAATGGTGCTCTGAGCTTGTGGCTGTTTTCCCTCTGCCGGCGAGCTTCTGCTATTTTAAGCCAAAAGAAAAGTCAGCCTCTAAAAAAACCACTTCACAATGACAGAGCCGTCAGAGTGAAGCCAAAAAAGGTCACTACAGTCCACAGCGAGTCTAACGCAAACACTGCTTCAACTAAACCATAAGACGCCAGCGTGGAAACTGTGCAGACAATTTCCAAAGACAAAGGCAACTGCTCCTGCCAATCTCTGATGCGCAGAGGAGCATGTGTGCTTCCAGTTAGCAGGCCTTTTAGAGACTGAATTAATGTCACAGAATGTCCTTTGACTTGTGCCTTTTACTGCTGCGGTGGTAATTGAATGCAGTGACAATAAAGTTATATTTTAAGATGAATTACATTTACATTTGGCTGTGTTCTGTCATTAGGCTGGATGGGTTGTCACTCTTGCCATAAGATTTTGATCCAAACATGTGGAGTAAAGCTGCAGAGTGATAAAAACTTTTGGACGTGCTGTGCTCCAGCTCTCCGGTCAAGTAGCTTTAAATGTCTTTGAAGATGAAGATGCCATTCAAGTGTCAGTTCAAACAAATGTGCTTTCTGGATCTTTCAAATATTTCAAAAAGGAGTTAAACATTCAATTTAGACTTTTTAACATGTTTTTCTAAAGATTTGCACACTTGAGGGCACACACCACACACCATGTTAAGTGGCAATTTTAAGCAGATATCTAATCTAGTGCCCGGCTGTTTTCAAATACTCACAAGTAAATAACATCTGTATATTCAAACTGTCCCAGTAATAAACCCCATTCATACAGTATGAGATGTTTACTGATACAAATGTAATGCATGTGTCACCTCAGGCAAAACTCATTAAACCTGTTTTATTCCAGTGATATCAGTCTGTACGTTACAATGCACATGTCAATCAATAGAAATAACCAAACTTATTACCCTAATATCATGATGTAAGGCCCCTGGATTGTGTCTCTGCTTGCAATCTGTAGTGGTGTGAAGGGTTGTGTTTACTACTCTTCTTACAGCTCCTGTAACATATGTGAGGTCACCATTTAAAGTAATCAGAAACAGAGGGAGTGACGGAGAGAGCAGCCAACAGTTGGTTGTTTTACTGGTTTGGGCTACACCACAAACCTTCTTAAAATAAATACAATTTTACGGTGTCCGTTCTACCTCTATTGGCATGCATGGCTGGGTGATCGTTCTGCATTTCTTAACAACAGCTTGGCAATAGGTGTAATTCAACTGACTCAAATTTTCAGTTGAGCTACAAGAAGTTGAAATAGTTTCAAGGGTGCTGTAAGAGTAAACTGCAGCCGAAACCAAAATGTGCTCTGACAGCAGAAAGAGTTCTGCAGTGCCTCTATCTCACAGGCCTGGTTTGAGTTTTTCAAATGTATTTCCAGATGCGGAGCAGAGACGCCTGAATGAGAGTCTGCATAATGATAAAGTGACGCTGTTGCTGTTTGACTGAACACTGTAACACATGCAGAGGAAGGGGCAAACACACGCAAAAAAAAAAAAGCTTTGTGATGAAATCTCACCTGATGTTAGAAAGTTTGCAAAAGCAGCTACCTGGTTGAATAGATGTAATGAAAGATCCCCAGACAACCCACCAGTTACAAAAAAAAAAAAAACAGCACAAACACTGCTGCAAGGGGCGTTGTCAGCTTTTACAGGCCTAGCGTGACACAACTCATGCAACCGCTAAGCCATGACCTAGCCACAGAGCATGAGGCATTCGCCAGTATATAACCACAACCCAAGCAGCACACAAGTGTGTGCAGTATTTCTACATGTTGCTATATCTCTATGTTAGAAAACAATGGAAATGCATGAATAAACAATCACATTTCTCCAGGAAAGACATTTCATTGTCTCTTGAAAAGCACAATCAGAGATGTTGCCATGTGGATTTCTGTTAAAAGCAAGTCATTGTTATAATAATTAGAATCTTATGAGAAACTGCACACCTAATTGTGGAATTTAAATATTACTGAATACATTACAGTGACATTTAAATGCCACAGAATTCAATAATACTTTGAAAACCATCCTTCTGAATTCATGAGATTTGAGCTTCACACTTTGTTTTCATAATTTAAACAGATTTCAATCAATATCAAGACTTATCATAAGTAATGAAGTGTTCAATATTCAAAAGGCAAATATTCAATTATTCATACTTTTGTGGTTGATGAAATTCAGGCAGCAAAATTCAAGATGAAAAATTCAAACTTCAACATTTGAGCTACAGAGGTGACTTCATTGGACAGAATGTTACCTCACAGGATCAAGGTCTGATCGATCTTTAAAAGCCTGGATGTTCAAGTTCAAATTCTTCATCTTGTATTTTTGTGGCTAAAATTCACTGACCCAATTTGGGCAATTTGTTTTCAGATCTGAACTTGACTAACTAAGGGTTAAGGATGTTCTTGGTTGGGAAGAAACATGCCTTGTGTAATACTTTTCTATTCATGTACCACATGCAGCTTTATCTTCCATAAAGTATTGTAAAAATAAAATATATAATTAAAATGGCCATGGAAGCTCCATCAGATTAGACTTAACTGTGCTAATACATTTCATAAACGGCCTTAGGTTCTTTGGATTCACAACTGAATCATGTAAAGATTTAATGAGCAAAGTGGAAAAGCTTTGATTTAAAAAGGTGATAGTGCACAAATGAGGGTCCACTCTTAATATTACCTCAGTCCAGCAGAAATATTGACTTTCTAAAAAATGTTTTAAACACAAATTTACATTTTTTTTTTAAATTTTTATCTAAGGATCATGACTTATTTGCTAATCTGCTGATAATGATGGAATAATAACCCTTATGTCCATACTTTTCTCCAGTTTTGCTCATTAAGTATACTGTGGGTAATGATTCAGAAAACATACTGAAAGTTACATATTTTAACTGTACCCTGCTTGTGCTAAACCAGGCCATTAAAATGTTTATTTCACTGTGCCTTCAAAGTTCACAGATGTCATTAACAGTAACTCACCTCCTCCTCTTTCCAGGTTACCATGTGGCGTTGTTGGATGCCCTTCATCTTGGCCTGGGTATCCATGGCAACCCCAACGCTCTGCCAAAGTGGGGATGGTGATTGGGGTTCAGGCTTTGACATTTATTCAACCATAATGGCCACCAATGACACATCGCAAGCAGCTGGTGATGAGCCTGCAAGGTTGAAAAACAACCATGACTGGATCACATCAGCAACATTTTCACCATCACCCTCACCTACGCTGCACTATGAGCCCCAACCGGACAAGTGCTCGGTCCACTTCAGCACTAACACTGCTTCAGCACGGAGGCTTAAGGCCCAGAAAGAGGAGCTGGCTTATCTGCAGGCCATCCAGCATGGAAACAAGGCAGTGATGGAGAACTTGGTGCAGTTTGTGGAGGCAGAGCTGGGAGAACAGCGTTATGAGGATGTGATCAAGGAAAATGTCATCGGCATCCATGAGGACCACAAGAGCTGCCACGAGGTGGTAGAGAAAGCTGAAGAAGATCTAGAGAAGCAGCTGGAGGGAGACGTGTTGGACGCCATTTCTGGGATGCAGAAGTGAGTGCAGCAAATCAGATGTGTTGAGCTTCAGAAAGATAATGGCTGAAATGTAGAGAGAGCAGCTAAAAATGACCAGTTCTTGTTTGTTGGTGAACAAGGTCTTTGTTAAAAGGAGATTCGCCTTTTATCAGACAGTTGAAAACTATTATTGTTATTTCTATAACTGATATTTGACATCCAGACTTTGACTTCATCAGTAGGTGCTGGGCTATACTGTCTTGTTAGCATTTTCAATGTGTGATCTGTGTGAGTGCCACCAACCGCTCCCAACAAAGCACCTTCATTTACAGTAATGAATTCAGAATTTAGTGCAAGGAGATTGGCAGTGCCAAAACAACCAGTCAGTTCACTGATTAGTCCATTAACAGAAAATTAATCTACAACATTTTTGGCAGCATTTTATGCCTTTATTAGATTACTAATAGAGAGAGAGAGATGACCAGAAATGAGTGAACAGAGTGAGACCATTGCAGTTCCTGGTCAGCACCTCAACCCCAAGACCACCCGGGTGCTCAGCAACTGTTTAAGTTGTCTGTTCTGTATTTTACTGTAAATTCACTGTCTGGGTTTTGGACTCTCTCTCTCTCAACCCAACCTGTCGAGGCAGATGGCCGCCCACCCTGAGCCTGGTTCTGCTCGAGGTTTCTGCCTCTTGAAAGGAAGTTTTTCCTTGCCACTGTTGCCAAGCGCTTGCTCGTGGTGGGAATTGCTGGGTCTCTGTACTCAATATTATGAAAAGTATGGTCTAGACCTGCTCTATATGTAAAGTGCCTTGAGATAACTTCTGTTGTGATTTGGTATATATATATATATATATATATATATACA